ATGTATATATATATATATATATATATATATATATATATATATATATATAAAGAATATAAATCATATGGCGAATAACAACCCTCTCAAGCGTACTGGATCCACCAAGGGATCACGTTTGTCAGGGATTAATTAAAATAGATGCAATAAACTGACGACGAACAGTACGAAACTAGCAACTAACTAGCCTAAGCGCTTTCGACTCTTAATGAGTCTTTTTCAAAGGCAAATACAAAACATAGTTACGACAAACAAATAAACACAAAAACGTTGCGTTTGTAAACCTCTACATTTCTATCTTCACATGTGCTGGCCACACTTTCAGTGATATAATACTTATCGCTATTGCCAACAACCACAGCTGGAGTTCCGAAACCAGGAAGGAAAAGGAATCATACTGGATACGCCGCCTTAGAACATTGAAACCAAGCGGTCTAAACCAAGAAGACTAGAAAATGAAAACTATGCACTAGTAGAATTTAACATTTTCTAAATCTTCTTATCCTTCAATTTTTGCTATAAGAATAACCGGTATAGAACCAAATATCCGGGATATAATCTGCGTTACATATGTACACAAAGTAAAAATAGATGTCGCTTTGGCTTGTAGACTTTTAGGGAATTATACAACGTTTTCAGTTTCCGCAACTAGTCTATACAAGCTGGTTGTATATATAGTTTTAGCACATGTGAAGATAGAAATGTAGAGGTTTACAAACGCAACGTTTTTGTGTTTATTTGTTTGTCGTAACTATGTTTTGTATTTGCCTTTGAAAAAGACTCATTAAGAGTCGAAAGCGCTTAGGCTAGTTAGTTGCTAGTTTCGTACTGTTCGTCGTCAGTTTATTGCATCTATATATATATATATATATATATATATATATATATATATATATATATATATATATATATATATATATATATATATATGTATATTAACATAGACGTACAAAGTAATTTCCATATACCGATAACTTCATGTTATGATATTATAAACGGAAATAATGTTTGTTGGTCGTACAATGACTCCCATCCAAAAAATGAAAGGAATTTTGAAAAGGTAAATGAAGCAGTCCTCAAAAGAACCAAGCATTGCTCACCAGGCTTAGCTGAAATAGAGTAAAATGAAAATCTAGCAATTACACTTGGCTCAAAGATTTTCTCTTTATTGCCTTAAAATCAAGGTCTGGCAATTTAAGTTTGGATGGGTGCGTGGAGGCTGGAATCTTTTAACCCCAAAAATACACATTTCCAACCTTCACATAGCTTTTAAAACTCTCGTTGTTCTTTGTGAAAAATAAAAGCCATTGTATACAATTATAATAGCTGAAATGTATTAGCTGTCTTGAGGTAATAGAGAAAACTATATTTCTGATTTGAAAATAAATCAGTGGCCCTTTCCCTCTGCCAAATTAATTATTTGGTCCCTTCACAGGCAGTATTTTGTTATATATACATACACCAATTGTAGAAAATATGAAAAAAGTATTTATTTTATGTATAAATTTTAACTTAAATTACCATAATAATTTTTAAGATATTAAAACAAATTTCTACATATCTGACGTCAAATATACTTGGTTGCTAGCTAAGCTAAACGAAACAACATTAACTAAAATTTCATCTAAAATATATCAAATTGAACATTTCTCCAAGTCTGGCAATATTAAATGAAGTGGTTTTGAAGAAAGTGGGAAAATTATCTTTCTCACCTGTCTATTATTGGATTATATTTCTCACCTGTCTATCATTTGATTATCTTTCTCACCTATCTATCATCGGGACCAAAATATACACGTTTGTTTGTAGATTAGGAAGCAACAAATATTTCCTCTAATACTTTGATAAAAATGTTACCAGGCAGATGTCAACACATGCTTTATATCCATCTGCTTGCTCTGGAGTTATAATGATTGCTATGGAAGCTGTCAAAAATAGAAATACATCTCGAATGACTAATCAAATATAGTTTTTTATGTAGATGTATATATATATATATATATATATATATATATATATATATATATATATATATATATATATATATATATATATATACATACATACATACATACATACATACATACATACATACATACATACATACATACATACATACATACATATTCACACAATAGCAGCGTCTAACAGATTTTTGCGCTCAGGAGTGGTCATCCTGGTGTCAGTATAATGTGACTCGGTGGGACATCATGCTCATCATGCTACATGCCTGTGGTAAGATGCTCCAGTGCTAAACATCCCTATGAACTCCCACACTGCATGAAACATTGTTGAAGCTACGTTACAAATCCATTTTCTCTCTCTCTCTCTCTCTCTCTCTCTCTCTCTCTCTCTCTCTCTCTCTCTCTCTCTCTCTCTCTCTCTCTCTCTCTCTCTCTCTCTCTCTCTCAGAGGCCAGAAAGTGAATTTCTGACCAATGCCATTTCGTATGTTTCGACTTCTTATTTACACTGATAGAAGTAATGGAAGCTGTAATGGTGAAGGATGTATATATTGTCACTGATTAGATCATCGATAGTTTAGCTACAGTGTTTCAAAAGAATAAATTTATTTTCGGTTTGCTAAATACCTTTAGATTTTTGTTCTTGGAAAGGGAAAGGGGGTGATCATATATACATATATATATATATATGTGTGTGTGTGTATATATGTATAATATGTTTAATAATATGTTTAATAATATGTTTAATAATTTAAAAGGCATTTCTTCAAAAAAAAATAAATTTCTGCAAATCGTCTTTGTTATAGAAGCATTCAAAGAACAAATTCAGCAATCAGAAAAAAAGCTAATAGAAGCAACACAACAGGAAATGTATCTTCCATTTCATCGAGACATGTATCTTAAAATATTCCACCAGAGATCAATAAAAGTGCATTTTTTTAAATTTAGTGGTTAAATAGAGGGCGCGAAGAAGACGCATTCAGGTGGTGGCGATGTTGTAGATTTATATCAACTTGGGAAAGAAGAGGACGCATTCATGTGGCGGGTATGTTATAGATGCATATTGACTTGGGGCGAGGAGGGGACATATTCAGGTGGTGGCGATGTTGTAGATGTATACTGACTTGTACCTAGATGGGGACACATTCAGGTGGTGGCAATATTGTAGATGTATACTGACTTGTGCCGTGATGGTGACACCATCAGGTGGTGGAAATGTTGTAGATGTATACTGACTTGTGCCGTGATGGTGACACATTCAGGTGGTGACAAGAAGAGAAAGAGGACACATTCATGTGATGAAGATGTTGTTGATTAATATTGACTTGGGTCGAAAAGGGGGAACATTCAGATGGTGGCGATGTTGTAGAATTTTATTGTCTTGGGCCGAGGATATGTTGTAGATGTATAATTACTTGGAACGAGGAGGTTACACCTTCAGATGGTGGCAATGTTTTAGATGTATATTGCCTTGGGCTGAGAAGTGGACATATCAAGATGGCTGCAATGTTGTAGATGTATATCTAATTGTCATAAAAGTTCATCTAACCATGTGTTATATCAAAAGTAGAATTATAACCAGAATGCAAGATGTATGTAAACCTTCGGTTGCCATTATTAATTAGAAATACGTCAGCAGTGTTTGACATTTAAAGCTAGGGATTCCGTCTCTAGTGAAGTCATTATACGATGCAAATTTGTAAACAATAAGTCTCTAGTGCTGTCATTATACGATGTAAACAATACCGTCTAACACAGGGGTTTTCAAACTGTAGTCCGCGGACTCATTGGGGTCCGTTACATGTTGCCAAGGGGTCCGCAAGCTGGTCCCCAAAAATAATAAAAATAGTACCTTTGCAAAGTTTTCATTATCATCAACAATTATAAAACCATCTGAGTAATAAAGTGTCTATTCTGTATTGACTCTGCTCTAATCTATGGTTATCACATACTTATGGATTACATAAAATAATAATAATAATAATAATAATAATAATAATAATAATAATAATAATAATAATAATAATAATAATAATAATGTTGATTGGCTAAATTTATTGGATAGGCTGATAGGGGTCCGCCTATTGGCTGGATAGTCTGATAGGGATCCTCCTATTGGCGGGATAGTCTGATAGGGATCCTCCTATTGGCTGGATAGTCTGATAGGGATCCTCCTATTGGCTGGATAGGCTGATTGGGGTGCGCCATCTGACCACGGCATGCTACGGGGTAAACAGCTTCAAAAAGTTTGAAATAACACTGGTCTAACGCACAATCCTTTCGTTTTTAAACAAGATATGGTCGTCTTCACGGGTATTTACACAGGAAATTGTAGATACTCATCGAACGATGCGAAGTTTATCCTATAATAGCTAAAACAGGAAGTTAGCTGGCATTCATTAATTTACACCGTTCGTTTCGATCACTCTTATAATCAATAGCAGTATATGTAGTGCTCAATTCACTGCTGAGCAGGATGTTTTTGTCTCGACCACACATTATATTTTATCACAAAAATTACAATCTGATTAAAACCAAGGTATCTTAATAATGAGTACTTATATTATTCAGTTAGGTGATAGTCCTTTATGGATCAAAACACTAAAAAAAAGTTTCCTTTTGAAAAATAGTTTTCCTCATCATAGACTTACGCACGTATTATGAAACGACCCATGAATTGTCCTTTTTATCTTAGTCACAGATAACGCGAATAGGTTCCTGAAGAGACAAATATGTTCTTAAATCAAGTTTACAAAATTAATAATTAATAATTCCATAAGTGTTTTTCTTTTGTTTTAACATGGCACTTAGTTATAATTGTGTCAATGTCCGTTTTTTTTTTATCCGGTTTCTTTACAGTCCATCATAATGCGACTGTCTTGTAAAATTGGGGCATTATGCATCACTGAAGCATGACGCTGCAAACACGATGTATTATGTAAATATAAGTCACATTAACATAACACCAGGCCAACAATTCCTCTTAATGCCGAGCGCCAAGCGAGACAACTGCAGTTACCATTATTAAATGTTGTTGGTATGACTCGGCCGGGGTTCGAATTCGTGACCATCCGCATCCGAGGCGGACGATCAAACCAGTTAGACTACCGGAGCGGTCAAGCAATTGTCTGTAAAATTACAAACATAAAATTCATGGAAAGAAACGTATCAAAATATTGGTCACTTGTTATTAGTATTGTCCTTTCTCGCCTAATGACCACATATCACGAAACTCTGATTTCACATTTGCATGATAATTTTTCATAATTCACCATTAAGTCTTTCCAAACCGAATATTAGTACTTCATGCCATACAATGCAAAACACGACCAAAACATCCAGTACAAAGAGTTATTCCTATTTCGGGTTTCTTAAAACATATCGTAAAGTATTTAGAAGATTCTCTCTGTTAGGAAATTAATGAGGGTCTACTTTACAAAACTAATCCATGCTTTCACAACGTCTCATAAATAACGTATGTACATTATGATGTTTCCCCATATGTAGTGGCGAATTACTCGAATAGACAAATATCTTTCCAACACCAATTCCTCATAATCAACGAATAATCACTATAAGAAAGCTACAGACGGAGGTAAATTCCAGTGTTGCCATCATTCCAAATCAAAATACTCGTACATACAGATAATCATATATAATTCAATTACTTTCATCATCAACAGTTAATCTGATTTTTTTTTCTAGCAACCCTGTTGGGCTGGTGCCCTACGCACGTGCTAAGTGAGCTTAATAGTAAATCCAGACCTGAATGATGCAGATTTTCGTAATTCAATGGCAGAATAAAATTCGAGATCGAGAGAGAGAGAGAGAGAGAGAGAGAGAGAGAGAGAGAGAGAGAGAGAGAGAGAGAGAGAGAGAGAGAGAATATCTGTACAACAAGCATGCTACTAACAACTGGTAAACAAGCAGGGACTTTCTGCATTGACGTTAATCATACGACAGTTAGAGCTATTTTGAATTTTTTTTTAGCTATCCAATAATTTTCCATATGATTGGTTAAACGTCAACTTCCTATTTTCGATAAGCCTTTAAAATCACATGCTCACTGCGAGTCATACGTCGCCCCAACACGATAACAAAGAACCCTGTCGTGTTACATTGCTGGTCACATATATAAACTCACGCTGTTATGACAGCCAAGATGATGCTCGGGAAGCTTCCATCAGCATAAACAAGATCAAGGCACAATGACGCTCATGAAAGTATTTCCAACAGAAAGCCTCTCACCCTCGCGCCCATCAAAGATAAACGTCGGATCATTCTTAGGCACAACAAAGAAACTCTACGCTTGAGGCCACAGTAAAAAACAATAGTAAATAGATGATTACAACGATCAAAGATATGCAATATCACTTCTCCCACATACGTACAAAACCAGTTCTTAACATGTCGTTGCGATGGTTCGTCTATCAATGTTTATAATTGATTTTCGATTATTACAAACAATCTTTCAGAGATTCGCTAATAACCCGATCTTCACAGGCCGATTCATTATTATATGCATAATGAAAACATAAACAAAATCTTGCCTATGTTATGCCGTCACCCAAGAGTCATCGAGTTCACTTGAGAAAAAGATTCTGAACACACAGGTCTCTAACAGGTCAAAAACGCATGGTCACCCTCATTCTGCTGACAGCGACAAAAGGTCATGAACAGAGATTGCACTTATAACCCATTTAATACCTGATTTAACCGAGTTGCTCCGTAATTATCCGAAAAACCTTCCGAGTCACTTTATACTCCAGCCAATCAAACGCTGGTAGGCATCTGTACATAACAAAATGGCATGCATTGTTGTTTATACGTATCAGATTAAAACAAATTAAGAAATGCCCACTACCTGCCCGCTAAATGCCTGGGACTTCTGCAGCTTTACCGTCCAAAAAATATTCCAGGTTTGTTATACCGCGGATTAATACGAAAAATTCCTTTTATTGGTAAACGAAACTCGATTTATGAAATACGGTGTTGTGGTAAAAAGAGAGATTAAATTTTTAACATCGATACCGTTTCCATGCTCGCATGTACGTGTCCAAGATGAAAACAGCTCATAGCTACTCTCTCGTATGGCTATAAAATCCAGAAAACAGGACAGGATGGTTCCAATATTAAATTTCGTCAATATATGTGGCATCATCGCTGTTGAATAGGCATTTTTTCAACTCTATAAACGAAGCTGAAGTAGTTGGAACAGTTGATGCTAATGCTGAATTGTCCGACTTGTTTTGACCACTAGTCTGGTCCCCTGCTTAGTATGCTCCCTTCGATGCACTCCGCTATACTATACTAGGGAGCATACTAAGCAGGGGACCAGACTATTTGCCTACCAGCTATCGATTGGATATTGCGGTCAGTTGACCACACGCCACGTGATCAAAATTCCGAGCAAATTACGAACTTCGCCGAAGTCTCCATGAAATGGTCTATACAGGACAACGAATCTCTACCAAAATCCAAAGGTCACCTACGACCTCTCTGCGCAGACCAATTTAGCAGACACTGTATTCTTACATTTTTTTTACAAGTTCAAAATTTTATTATCCATGTAATAGGTTGGCCATTGGGTCGGGGAACCATCCCAAGGTCACCTTACAATCAAAATTTATAAACTAGGGATAGTAAATATAATAAATATAATTTATATTTAAAGAAAGAAAAAAATAATAAAAGACAACACAAACATGCACACACTCATGCACACATGCATATAGCACATTGTAGTTGACATAAGCTTTAGAAAATACTGTTTTGTTCCTGTTTACCATCCGATCAGTTACAAGATTCCTATTGCTCTATTGATGTCCATTTCTTAAGAAATTGGTCCTCTTTTTTGTTTATCTTAGCAGCATATTTTTCAACGTTCTTATACATTACAACTCTCTGCTTAAAAGTATAGATGGTAGGATTTTTCATATTGAATCTGCAAGTATAAATGTAATATTTTCCCAAAAAAAAGCAAGAAATTGCACAAACTGTCCAGTTGTTCACTTCCTAAAAGTATTTCTTGTTTTGACAAATGTACAATATTTGGGCAAGATGGTGCGAAATGATCAATAAAACTGTACCAGAACTGTGAAGTAATATTGCAATCATAGAAGAGATGTTCAATACTTTCATTCTCTCTCTCTCTCTCTCTCTTGCAAAACGTACATTTGTTGTCGTCCAATATGTTTATTCTTTTCAAAAAATCATTAGTAGCGATTATTATGTGGATTAATCTAAGGTTAAAAGAGATCAATGACATCTTTTCAAAAACTGTTTTAATAAGCTTACTAAATTCTTTTAATTTCCTTCTCCCTAAGTTCCAAATATCCTTTTCATTTCTGAGTATAATTTTATTGACTAAGTTCTGCCAAGCTCCATTTTCATTTTCCAACAATCTTTTTACCCATCTTATCTTAATATTCCTAATTAATGAGAATATATGTATCATATTGAGTCCTTCCTCATTCTCTGGGGTTACTAATATATCGCGTTTAATTCTCTCTACTTTTACACTCCATACAAATTTAAATAATGCACGATTTAGTTCTGCTTCAATTTTGGCTGATGTATTTGGAAGTGCTGAGAAAAGATGTATAAATATGGGCAGAACAAGGGTTTTTACAACAATTACCTTACCAACAACTGACATATGTCTTTGACTCCAGCTTGCTAATATTCGTTTTGCCTTTGTTAGTTTCTTCATATAATTAATTTCCACCATTTGTTGTAGATCTGGTGAAAAGTCTATGCCAAGGAGTGTAAAGTTTGAGGAGGACCAAATTAGGCCCATATCGGAATATATTCTTTCATTAGAAAATTTCTTGTTTCTAATCCAAATGGCTTTTGTTTTTGTTATGTTACATTTAAGTCCAGACAATATAAAAAAAACTTTGCAAGATATTCATAGCTGCTTTAAGAGAAAGTTGAGATCCATCAGGAAGAATAAAAGCATCGTCGGCATACTGACCCAATTTATATTCATTGACATCAAAGATAAGTCCCCGTACATCCAAATTTTGCTTTAAAGTTATAGCTAAATTCTCAACTCCAATAATAAACAAGTAAGGTGCAAGGGGATCTCCTTGACGACATCCTCTTTCTAGTCTAAAAAAAGATGACATATGCTTCTTGTAAAGCTTCTTCAATTGAATCAAAGGCTTTTTAAAAATCTATTAGTAATAATAAACCATATCAATTTTCATTTTCAAGTTGATTCATGATATCGTATAGTAGCCTGGTATTTTCTCCAATAAATCTTCCCTTCATAAATTCTTTTTGGGTATCACTGATTACTGAGTGAAGAACCTTTTTGATCCTGGCTGCAATGGCTCCCGAAGCGATCTTATAGTCAGTATTTAAAAGTGATATAGGTCTCCAATTTTGGAAGAATCTTCTATCTTTTTCTTCCTTTGGTAGACATGTTATGACTCCTTGAGTCTGAAAATCTGAACGTTTACCTACAGAGTATCCATAATTTATTGATCTACAAAGGAATCCCCAAGGAAACTTCCACAAGAATTTATAGAACTCTACAGTGAATCCATCTGAGCCAGGACTTTTTCTGTTTCCCATATTTTTTAGAAACAAATCACATTCATTTAATGTAAGCACACCCTCGCATGAATCTCTTTCCTCTTGACTGAGTTTAATATTATGATTAAAAAATCTATTTTGGTTAGATAATCTAGTTTGAGTTTCTTGAGTCCCCTCGTCATCAAGCTGAACAATTCTACCTTTGTACAATTCCATATGAAACTGTTTTTGGCCTTCTAAAATATCTATTTGATCAGATAATTTTGTCCCATCGTCTAAAATAATTTCCTTTATTGTCTTATTGACATAATTTCTTTTTTCAAGATTTAAAAAGTACCTTGTGCTTTTTTTTCTCTCCAAATTCATACCATCTGGCTTTAGATCTTAAGATAACGCTCTCTATGTATTTTTTCTAGATTCCTCTAATACTGCTTTCTTTTCCTCTAACTTTTCTAAAATTTCCCCATCTGTGTTATTCAACAGTTCCCCATACATTTCTATTATTTCTTGTTTATTTTTTTTTTAATTTTTCTCGTTTCTCTTTTGTTTTTTTTTAAATAGAGAAGCATATAGTTT